GGGCCGGCTGGCTGGCTGGAGAACAACAGGCCGTCACAGGCGCCTGTCAGAGGGTTGCAGCTGACTCCAGCTTCACACGCAGGGCACTGGGACTGACAGTCCGGCCCCGCGTAGCCCGGAACACACCCTGCAGCAGGAAACAGACACACGACCCAGCCCTGGCACATCGCTCTCCGGCTCGGCAGGGAGGTGCCCCAGGCAAGGGGAGCAGAGACGGGGCACACAACAGGCCGTCACAGGCGCCTGTCAGAGGGTTGCAGCTGACTCCAGCTTCACACGCAGGGCACTGGGACTGACAGTCCGGCCCCGCGTAGCCCGGAACACACCCTGCAGCAGGAAACAGACACACGACCCAGCCCTGGCACATCGCTCTCCGGCTCGGCAGGGAGGTGCCCCAGGCAAGGGGAGCAGAGACGGGGCACAGCCCCCCGCTGCACTGACAGTACCCAGGCTCCCTGACAGCCAGGGGGAAACCTCCCGGCCCTGCCGGCTGCAGGTACCTGCTTTGACGTGCACAGCAGCTGCCGGGTCCGTGGCTGGATCCTCCAGGCTCACCAAGCGTGTCCCGCGATAGAGGTAGTACGCGCCGGCCGTGCTGACCACCGCGCTGCAGGCCCTGCCCAGGGCGGTGCACTGGGCCTTGGCAGCGGGCAGGGAGGCCAAGCTCCCCTCGGCAGACAGGCTCCCGTACAAGGATTTCCCGGGGATCTCCACGTAGAACCCTGCGGGTGCCAAGGAGCCAGGGGCGGCTCTCAGCCTCACACCCTCCACTGGGCAGGGCCTCACAGAAGCAAAGCCGCTGCCCCTGCAGCCGGGGCGGATGCTCGTGCCAGCCGCCCTGCACGCCCGGGCACACCGCAGCTCTCGCTGACTGCACCACCCGGCGCCGTGGGGGGAGCCCGGCCCCCAGGGGAGGATGCTACTGCAGCAGCGGATCACCCCTCAGTATAGTCCGCCCCCTCTAATTGCAGAGCCCAGCTCCTTTCCAGAAGCAAGCAGGTGCCCCGCAGACTCTTACGGTTCCTCTGCGGCGTCTGGCACACCCAGCGGTGAGGTCTCCGGCACGGCTCCCCCCCCCGGGGGCCCCCCGGCCGCAGCAGGGCGCCCAGGG